TAGCTTTGAATTTAGGATTCAACACCTTTTGTTGGCAGGTATGACACAGCCTAAAATGGCTCTACATACTGGAAAGTAGCTCAGCTAAGAATAACTAAAAGTCAACATCTCACAAGAGTCTCCGCAGAACGCTTTCGCTCCAGCAGCAAAACAAGCACGGGCAAAAAACCATCAAGAAATAAATTCCAATCAATCCTTAGGGCCTCTATGCAGTATTAATGGAATTTAACAGCACAGGCAGCAATTTACTGCAGAAAATGCAGTGAGGGAACTCGGCAAGGGAAAGGCAACAGCTGTAATCCCATACTGGTAGTGCCTGGTGCATCCGCACTCCCAACTATATCCTCGGATGGCACACATCCGCACCTCCCTGCCCAGGCTCCTCTTTACATCATCAAACCTCCACTCAGCTGCCATCAGAGCATCCTTGCATCGCCTGGTGGGAATTGCTTTTCCCCCCCCAGCCAAGCAGAGGTACCACCAGAGTACAAAAAACCAGACACCGTGATGCGACGGGCGCAGTGCAGACAGCTACTTTGGGAGTTAGAGCCTTTTAAGGAGTGTGGTCTCAGTTTCATCGAAACTAAGAAGATTACAGGGCGAGTGACTACTGTCAAAAAGAGAGGTCTCAACAACAAGTACAAAACGTGAACGCTCCTGTAAGCAAATACTGTAAGTGTAGGTCACATATTCAGCAGTTCAGCCTGTCTGTCTCAAATTCCATAACCCACCATTTAGACTCAACTACAGCCAGTATTTTAAATTGTGTTTCTATGGCAGTGAAACCTCTTTGCATGCTCGATGGTTGTCAGACCTGTTTTCTTCACGTTGCAACTGCAAAATATTGCAGTTAACTGCTATGAGAGAATGTTAACGCTGCATAGAAATGAAGAATGCTAAAAGCAGGGAAATCCTCCTCTCCCAACCTCCCTCCCACTTGTCTTTTATTTTTTCCCCAGGAGCAGCTGGGTAAAAATCCTGCATGTACTCCTTTGTTTGGGCTGCCTACATTGTAAGGTGGCAACTTTTCTCCCAGCCTAGTAAATCTGGGGGACGAATGGATTGAGAGCAGCCATGTGGAGAAGGACTTGGGGGATACTGGTGGATGAAAAACTTGCCATGAGCCAGCAATGTGCACTCGCAGTCCAGAAAGCCAACAATGTCCTGGGCTGCATCAAAAAAAAGTGTGGCCAGCAGGTCAAGGGAGGGGATTCTCGCCCTCTACTCCGCTCTCGTGAGATCCCACCTGCAGTACTGCATCCAGCTCTGAGGTCCCCTGTACAAGACAGACATGGAGCTGGTGGACCAAGTCCAGAAGAGGCCACAAGTACAGTCAGAGTGTTGGAATACCTCTCCTATGAGGACAGGCTGACAGAGTTGTGGTTGTTCAGCCTGGAGAAGAGAAGGCTCCAGGAAGACCTTACTGCGGCCTTTCAATATATAAAGGGGGCTTATAAGAAAGATGGGGAGAAGCTTTTTACCAGGGCCTGTAGTGAAAGGACCAGAGGAAACAGTTTTAAACTGAAAGAGAGTAGATTTAGATCGGACATAAGGGAGAATTTTTTTGATGAAGGTGGTGAGACATTGGTTGCCCAGAGAAGTTGTGGATGCCCCATCCCTAGAAATGTTCAAGGTCAGGTTGGATGGGCAACCTGATCTAGTGGAAAATGTCCCTGCCCAGGGCAGGGGTGTTGGACTAGGTGATCTTTAAAGGTCCCTTCTGACTCAAACCTTTCTGTGATTGTATGAAATCTGCTGCTTACCTGAGAGATAGATGTTGTCTCCAGCGCTGACCACACTGAAAAACTCTCGATCATAGAAGGGCAGGCTGGCCAACGGGTACCACTTGTTGTTTTGAGGATTTAAGCAAGTGACTGCTGTTAAAGCGCGTTGATTCATGCCAATCATCTGACGACCCCCAACTAAGACTATTACCTCAGCTACACCTAGGATTCAAGTAAGAAAAACAATATTATAAAAAAGTGACATCTCTCAACCAGGCAGGAGCCTATCAAAAAATACTCAGCAGAGTAATTTTAATGTACCATATATAAATCTGTTTTAGACTGCAATCAAACCAGGAAGGGCGAGAAAAAAGGGAGTGTGCATGTGGGTGAGGAACGACACTATGAATGTGCCTGAGAGAACTTGGGAGGGCGCGTGCCATTTGGGAAAAATTTGAGGGGGAAAGAAATAAAAAGGTCTTTCCATGTAAAGATGCCCGTTGACTTCAACAGTCTTTGGGTGAAACCTGCATGTACCAAATTCCTGTTTCACTAAAGAAAATGGGAATTTTGTCACGGATAGTGATAGCTTTGGAGCGTGGCCATTATCCAGGGAAAGTATGTTTGGAGTTTAACCTGAAGAATGTGTTCTCCCACTAAAAGCTACTATCTGGACAACAATTAGGCTACAGATATGGTTCTTCATCCTCCATATGCTCTATTAACAGACCATTTTCTTGTGGTATTTTTTTGTGCTTTTCCCAGAGAAAGCAGGTTTTCCAGATGTAGATAACACATGCTCAAGCCATGGATCAAGGTCTTTGTGTACTAGGTGCTAGGAAACATGACAGAGATAGTCCCTGCCCTAATGTAGTAATTAATTGAGATTTATCTGTGCTTGAACAGCTTCCCCAAGCCCATAACACGCAGGGTGTGCAACAAGCCAAATTGTCTGTTCGTGCAAATGGACAAAACTTTTGCAATCCACATTTCAGAGTTTTTATTTTCACTTTACAGCCAGAGCTGAGTCAAATCTGATCTGTGCGTTACTCCAGACTCATTATCCCGCAGTGATGAGTTGCAGTTTAACTCTGGGCCATTTTCTGGCTCCAAGAGTCAAGCGCTGGGGATGGTTTGGATTTAGCATTTAGCAGAAGTGTCAAAAATCTTTCCACAGCAATTGTAAGCCCAAGTGCAACTTGTTGCCGGGAGAGGTAGGCTCAGAAGCAGGACCATAAGGCCATGAGCTGGAAGGAATCGCCATTTCGGGAGCCGTGCTCATGGCCAAACCTGTTGCTGTGATGTGTTACGGTGCCCAGCCTAGCGGTAAGTGTGCACAGGCGGGGGGTCAGAAGCACGGAAGTGAGATTGCCAGCAAGAGTGATTAGGAGCTGCGGCGGAGAGAAATGTGTCTTCAGAGTAATGGATTATCGTCATTCTTCATTAGCGTTTTCAAAAAAATATATTTGTGTCATTCAAGCAAGGTTACTCTCTTAAAAGTTATTAAGCTAAAGTGCTGTACAGTTTTAAATAAATATTTCTCAGAGATCATTATTTTTGCGCCATACCAGAAAATCTAATCACCTGTGTAAGACATAACTTGATTATAATCAATGACCTCGAGAGGGCATGTGACATGCTGCAGCGAGTCCACAAAGGGTGTTTAGAGATCCTTTGTGCCTACATGAATGCCGTTGATATGCAAAATAACATGATTCTATATAATTAGACTCTGACCTAAAAAACTATAATCACCCTCTCTTACCCCGAGAGAATCACTTTTCCCTCATCAACAAGCTTCTGGAAATGGTTCATATTACACCTACAATTTTATATACATAAAATAAGCACTTTTCAAAAATCTCTTCAAACATCACACCATTAGTTGTCTTCAATGAAAGACTTTTTAGGGTAGATTGTTATTGAAAGTCCTCTACACTTCATCCTTCTGAAAGGTGCCTTGATGAGGCAGTCTCCAGAAGCTGCAAATGCCGTGGTTTGACATGCCAGCTCTGTGCCACATTAGCATTAGTGGCAGTGACAGAAAGTTTTTCCTGGCTTTGTGATTGTACTTATGGGAGGCAGAAATACAGGGAGCATGTTAAAACAATTCACCTGTTTCATCTGACTCCTTCTTGGATGTGGTGTTCCTACATGACACTTGTACCACTCTCTGTTCAGCAAAGATTTAGGATATTTCTCACACTACCATGATACGGGCTCTGCTGGTGAGTTGGGCACTTGGGGTTTTTTCATTTATTTTTCCAAAAAGAAAAATGCATGCATTCCTCAGGTGAGAAACTTCTTGAAGCGGTATGGTTCTCCATAGCTGCTGGGTTTTTAAAAGGGAATATATCATGTGTGATCAATTTGTTCAGGAGGCAGCCACCAGCCTGCACTGGTACTGTAAGACTCACGGTATGAAAATAACATATTTACATAGGGCTGTGAAAGTGAAGCTGTTTTATGAATATTAGTCCTATCCTCCTGCAAGAGGCTGAATGGCAAAGTAGCAAATTATTCACCTATTTTTGCAGCTAGAGAAACTGAGGCTCGGAGGGCAAGGGGCTCACTTTCAGGACAACGGGTGCCTGTCACAGTCTCTGCCAAAGCTAGTAATTCCTAAAAATTAGGCTCCTTAAAATCTAATTTCAGGAGCGTACATCTAAACACCCATTGTGAGAGGCTCCTAAACACTCGAGCAAAGCAGAAATGGAAAATTGAGCTTGAAATATCACCTCTGAGAAGGAGCCAAGGGAAGGAGCCCAGGTCCACGCCCCATCACTGGGCACGTCCTGGCCACGCTGGGAACTGCTGGACCAGAGAGCTGGTGTCACTGAACAAAGTTTTGTTTTACCTGCAGAGAGCCTGGGCCGGGTCCTTGGCGTCTGCATCTCTTGTCGGGCGTGTGGCAGCATGTGATAACGTTTGGCTTCATTCACTAGATCCCGGCAAGCCTCCGAAGACTTTATCAACTCCTCGTTGTCAACAACGTTTAGCAGATAGCTGGGATGGATGAAGGGGAGGCGCACGACTGCCAGCAACTCCGCGGCGTACTACGGGGGGGGGAAATAATAACACACTGCGTCCTCCGTGCCGGAGTTCAGACGCTCGGCATCTCTGCCTCCTTCCCTGCAAACCGTCCCGTCACCCAACCTGGTACGGCGCTTGTCATGGATGCTGCATACAAACCCTGCTTAGTCATCGGGTGGGACAGAGACAACGCAGCCCTCAGTGCTCTCCGACCCAGGGAACTGAAAATAATCTTCAAAAGGTGGCAACTCTTGATATATAGCACTGTATGGAGGGATTTTTGAAATAAAAACTCATTCTGAACTCAGGCTGAATATAACACCTTGGGTACTGGAGACATGGAGTCAGCTTTTGAATTTTCTAAATTAACCTTGAAATGCAAGTATGGTAAACCAACTCCAAAACAAGTCTTTTCTGGCACTGTAAATGTGAAACAAAAGCCGGTAAATAGGGTGGATTTCAATAACTGCTATGGCAGACACTGAATAATATCAGCCAATTTGCTAAAAATCTTTTAATTAATAGGGTTTATTTATTGGTGAAACAAATCATGTACTTCTAGATTTGGGGGAAGTCAGACTCCAGAGGGTGCTACACAAATACTGACAGTTAAGTTTCATCTTCTAAATAAATACATTAAACCTCGGAGGGCAAAGGACATCCAAGCAAATGAAGCTGTCTGTCACTGAACGCGGCTTAAAGGAGAACAAAACCCCAAGAGAGAAAACTGCAATCGAAAAACCGACAGTCCATCCCCAGATTATTCTTTTTATATATAATTGGTTATATCACAACACAGCAAAAGAGTACAGTGAAAAGCAGAGTAATAGGAAAACGTGGTTCTCGAGAAGCAATGCACACAAACAGGATGCAAACTAAGGGTGTGCAGCAAGAAAAGATAATCATCTGTTGTAATAAATATTCATAGAGCAGCAGCATCCTAAGATCCCAACTGGGACTGAGGCCAGGATGCAAATAAATATTCCTGAGGTCCATATGACTGGTCCTGAGAAACGCTGGGCACCAGCAGCATCTGTTGGCCTGCAGATGCCTCCGGTCTTCCAGAAGCTACTTGGCACTCGCTTTCTCAGCATGCCTGTCCCCGAGAACCAAGTCAGAGCAGGAGCAGGGATGGGAATGGGGCAGGGTACAGCGAGACGGGAGGGCAGGGATGTGGCCTGAGCCAGCTAATGGGCTGGCCAGGCAGGTGAGGATGCACTGACAGCCGGGACTGCTTCCAGGGCTTTCCCTTTCCGCACCCAAAGTGAAGAAGCAGGTTTCATTTAGGAGGAAAACAGAGGATTTCTCCTCCTAACAGCTTTTCACACCACTCTCCTGTTGGAGAGCCACGTCAGCCTGGTGCAAGCTCAGTCAAAACGAGGATGTGACTTCCCACGGGGAGCTGAACCCCGCACGGCAGCAGGGAGAGGACCAGGGTCTCGGGCTGACTCCCACCCCCTGCTCACCAGCCCTCCTTGACACCAGGGCCAGCAATTTTAGGTACAGCCCAAAGAATTTAGGTCTGGCCACCCTGCAGTTGTTTGGAGATAAAAAAGTGATGCAAAAGACACAGAACAATGACAGCGCTCAACTTCTGGAAAAAATCCCACGTGAGCGGTGAGTCCGTGGCTCTGCGCTGTCACCTCTGGCACAGCACGGGGCTGAGTAGGGCTTGAGATCGCTTCATCAGCCTCCACGCCAGAAAAGACGACACTCCTCTCTTTTCCCTTGCTGAAATCCATTTCTAAGGCGCTTTCTAGGAGGTAAAACGGCTGCTCCCCTTCCCCAGAGTCACAAATGTCAGGCACTTGGCTGCAGATATCTTAATGTCATTAAACGGTACCTTGTAGGAGAGGGAGCAGTGGACATATGGCAGTGGGTGGCAAAGCTCTGATTTCAGGAAGTGCTTTTTTTAAGAAGGTTGGGGGCGTTTAACCTTACACGGGAGCCAAGACGAAACGTGGCATTGGGACACGGGAATAATGCGGATAGCGGGTATATCGAGGGCGAGCCATACAACCCCCGGCGGGGAGGTTAATCTCCACTACAGGCTGCTCAGGAAGCAGTACGAGTCGCTAAAGGGCAGTTTAAATAAAGTTGTAAAATATATGGAGTGTATAGCAGAGCCAGGACCTTCCCTCGGAGTGGCGGGCCACACCAGCGCTGTCCCTGATGCTCCCTGCGCTGGAAGCAGCTGTAACACGAAGCAATGCAAAACGTGGGCGCAAACAGTTGTGCCACTAAATTAGGACACAGGGTTCGACAGTCACCACGATGTCCTGAAGCCGAGTGTGAATTAGCACTGGGAAGAGAGCTCTCCTCTGGAAGGGACAGACAATTCCCATGGGCCCGGCAGAGCGACCACCTCCATCTCCCACCTTTCCCAGAATAAACGGGGCAGTGCCGCTGCCTGAGCACGGCGAGCTCTCCTTCTCGCTCGCCCACCTTGCTTTAATTAGATAAGTGAGAAAATGTGATTCTGTTTCTCTCCTGGATTTTTTTCCCCCTTTTCTCTCCTCTTTTGTCTGAGCTCGTGGCTTATTTTGAAGGGGAATAATAATTAGAACATGTTGCTCCCTTTCATCAGCTTGAAAGTTAATGTCACATATCAAAACCGATGTCACTTTTCACTCTTACTCTTCCTTTTGCTCAAACAACTAGAAAAAGCCAGCTCTGTGTGTGTGTGCACGACTGCGCGCAGTTGCAACTCGGGCTCGTCGCTGATGGCATTAAGGGTACATATAATCGCAGTGTTTTTCACCAAGGGATTTGAAGAGTATGTACCATCGCAGTGTCTCTAGAAGACAGGAGAGGCTTTTATAAACCAACGGCTTTTCGCACCAGCTCTTTTAAGCACTATAGTCAAGGGTGAATTTCATTTAGCCTCGCTGATTTAAGAATATTCAAGTGATTTTAGGCAATCAGCAGTCTTTTTCTTTGGGATTCTCCCTTATGAAGGCTTCCTAGCTCCGTTAGCTATGATTGTACTAAATATCCTGTTACTATTATCCTTTTCATTTAAGACTGGAATAAGCATCATAAAGCATTTCAACCCCCTTACCATCTGTTATTTGCTCTCCATTCTCTCTTGTCTTTCCGTTGTTCCTTACACAGCTACGAAATATCTACTGCACCTACTGACGTTACTGGGTTTTATTAAAACAGCAGAATACCTGTGCAGGGCATGTTGCCAAATTCAGCAGACAACAACCTCTGGTCCCTGGAGTTGCAGTTTACGCCTGTAACTCTGGGGGCATTTTCTTCTTACTACTCTGCTGCAGGCACTGGCTGGACAAGTAGAAATATTTCTCAGGTCTTTGCTGGGAATCACTTATGACTACTCTACAACCTGCATCGCACACCAGGGTGAAGCAGAGAATATTAATGCCCCTTCTGGTCTAAAATTGGGAGTTATCAACTCATAGACATGGGAGACCATGCCTCAGCTCCTTGAAGATGGACACCATTATGCAAAAATCTAATGAATTTATTGCTTAAAATGCTAGAGAGGTTTTTGAAGACCATCAGAACTGGTTTCTCAGGCGACGTGAACCTCAGCATAGCTCCCGTTGGATGAAGGGAGCTGGTTGGGTTTTGCACCAGCAGAGGCTCTAGTCCATAGACTCCTTGCTGAGCAATGATGCTGCCGGATACTCCTGCGGTGCCATGCATGGCCGGGCTGATCCTGCAGGAGCCATGGGCACTGCTACCCCTGCCAAAGGCTTTTTGGACAGGCACTGGGGACATGGTAGAGTAGTGACTTTTGAGAGATGGCTTACTTCAAGGGACCTATTTCATCGATACCGATTTCAATGGCTGAACAGAAAGTAGGGTCTTCAACCAGCCTGCCATCACAAACATGTTTCGTAAAAAACAGGGAAAGAAAAATCTTAGGTCATCTTATCTTTCCTTAATTACCTAAACATTTTGGGGGAGAGATTCAGCTCTAGATACAGACACCTAAATAGGTACATTCAAGCAAGTATTTACTTGTCAGCTAGACATGTGTAAACCTACGTTATAATTAACAGAGATTTAGTCAACACACTTAACACAGTCCCCAGAGCAATCTGAGCTGAGTGGCTGCATCACGCACCAGGGGAAGCAGAGAATATCAACGTCCCCTCCTGGCCTAAAACTGCGAGCCATCAGCTCCTGGGAAAGGGAGTGTGAACCTCAGCTCACGCCACATCGTGATGTCTACAACCAGTTGTCAACCCGAACTAGAGGGTGATTAATTCTTGCATCCATTTGCCCTGGGCACTGTGCTCGGAAGTTCGTGATCACGCTATGAGGAAGCCTAAATGTTATCATTGGGTCAGCCTTGACTCAGAGGAATATATGATCAACATGATCCGCTATACCTTGAAGTTGACCCTCTCAAGCCTTTCCCTAATAATCTGTTCATACATAAGTTACTCTCATCTCGGTAGGCAGGTCAGAGCTCGAGCAAACTAGATTACAAAACAGGTGAATGTGGGTTTTTGGTTTTTTTTTTTTGTTCTTGGCTGGTAGTTTGAGTGAGGACATTTAGTTTGCTAAACTTTGGGTGACATTTCTTCTCCTACTAATATCGGTATTATGAATGCTTGCTTGCAAGTGGGCTTTGTTCTGGTATCTTCTAAGTCCCAGTTACAAAACCCTCTTCAATATCACATTAAAAATAATCTTTTTATTCTCAAATCTCTAATAGAGTAAAGACCTCACAAGTATTCTCCAAAAGGACTCTCCATGTGCTCCTGCATAGACTTGGGCTACAACAGTATGCAGTTAGTTTTAAAAGGAAATATGTTTACTGTGACAGAGTCAAATTTCTTGCTCCTTAAACGCTACACTGGAAAGCTCTCAAGATTTTTAACATTTTTGAAGTAATGCCCAGAGAGGTTAAAATAATGTTTCCCTTATGCCTTATAACTCATCTGTTTCTCTAGTTTACTGTTCTTCCTACAAAGGACCCTTTGTGCTATCTGCCTAAAGAAACAGGCTTCAGCTAGAAACACAAACACAGGAGTTAGATTACCCA